AACATGAAACATCAACTAACCTTTTCCCCTTTACCTTTTCTTTGACAGTCCCCCATTTCAATAGAAGCAATAGTGCAACAGATGGAGCTTAAAAAATATATAAAGTCTTGCAATGTCTAGCCATTAAATCACCACTTGGAAATAATATATAAATGATTTGACTAAAATTTATGCTACCAATGCCAGAAATGAAACGGAGCTTCTATTAATTAAAATCAAAAAATGAACATTGCAATCTATCCACAACAAACTTAATTATCACTTTCAAACATGATTTGAAATACCATTCAGTCTACACCATAGTTGACCAGTATTTATCGCTCCAAGCAAGGGCTAATGTTGGACCATATGAGACAATAGTGATCGATATTAATTTTTCAATATTTTTGTCTATACTGGGTGGTGTGGATCGATATGCTTGATATACTGGTACCATACTAGATCCAGAACAATCATTTGACCAAGATTTAAATCCATGCTTCACTCATGATAAAAACAGAGCATAGCATTTTACCAGACTATTAATATCATTGTTCTTCTAAGTGACTACATAAAATTCTTACACATAGAAAATAACAGTGGAAAGATGATACTGTTAGCTTATAGTCTCAAGTATAAGAGAAGTCCTAAGATACACTATATTAATTGATTATAAATTTGATTATAAATGGTTATAAATTTGATTTCTTTTAACAAAACGAAAGAAAAAAATATTGCATTAAGCTATTGGCATTCAAGATGCCAAAGAATACATTATAGTTGGAGTCCTAATAGTTCAAAGAATTGAAAACATTGTGGATTATAGCATAATGAGCATCCTTGTTTTGGGTTCAATATAAAAAAAACATCGTTTTACATTGTTTATTTGATTGTCAACCAACAAACTGTTAAAAGGATAGTGTCTTCACGTTTGTTCAAAAATTTGATAGCTTTAAATAATCAACCCATAAATTACAATATCCAATCCTAGTTGTCATTTTAACCAGTACAGAGGATCCCCCGTGTCTGCCACCAGAAGAGGTCAGCAGACAAACCCAAAGCCTCATGCAATCTGAAAGCTCACTCCAAAAGATTCTCCAGCAGTCAGAATCCAACCTGCCCAGCACTCAATTATCATGTCAATCCTTTTCTCAGCACACTTGCGCATCCCTCAAGGGCTCAGCTCAGCTGCAACCTGTACGAAAAGCAGATAGAACTCGATGACAATATTGCTGTTAATATGACGTGTTACGAACAAAGAACTCACTGGCTGTTTCATGAAGATTTCAGACATCACCATAAGTCCCAGCAAGAAGACAACAACAATTGCCAGTACTGTTTGATGATACGAGAACTTGTTAACGTCACATCGCTGCTTGTCTCTCTTCTGTGACATGACAGGCCATGGGGAGTTGCCTGTTGGCTTCTTTATACCAGGCGGGGAGAGAAGGCACTGGGAGTCTGCAGCAAGAGATGAATCCGAACTGCTCAAACGTTGCTTCCAGTGCCTGTGGCTCCAGCGATTCCACCCAGGGGCTCAAGATTGGAAGGAAGACGTACTTCGAGGATTTCTCTGTCTCATCCTCTTCGTTCCCGGTCGCACTGTCAGCACCTCAGAAGAAGGGGAAGGGGGTGGCGCAGGTGGGGAAACAGCAGCAGCCACCCAGGTGCCAGGTCGAAGGGTGTAGTGTGGATCTCACCGGGGCCAAGGCGTACCACTGCAGGCACAAGGTGTGTGGGGTGCATTCCAAGTCCCCCAAGGTGCTGGTGGCAGGGATGGAGCAGCGATTCTGTCAGCAGTGCAGCAGGTCAATCACTTTGCCCCCTTTGCCTGCTCTTCTTGTTCTTCCTCTGCTTCACCTTTTCATTTAGTACGTCAACCACTCTTTTAATTTGTTGTGTATGATATTAATCCTCATAAATTAGTTATAATCCTTATGAATTCATGTATAATCTCACTCATTGATGTGAGACTAAATCCAAATCTTACAGGTTCCACCAATTGCCTGAGTTCGACCAAGGGAAACGCAGTTGCAGGAGACGTCTGGCCTGCCACAACGAGCGGCGAAGGAGGCGACCTCTATCAGCGCACGTCGCATGCATGCCATCAGTCTTCCATGGTTAGGCCCTGAGCTCATCTCCAAAACTTCTTCTGCACCCACTTCAAGATGTTCTTCTCTGCCTTCAGCCTTTGTTTCTTCTAACCCATGTTGTAATCTCGAAGCAGAAGGCAACAACAGGTTCAGAGGGTTTCTTGTGGACTTCACTCACCCCAAACTCCCTTCATTCCTGCAAAATGCATGGCAAATAAATCAAAGTGGCTTAGGAGTTGCATCAGCTCCAGGAATTCCACATCTTACAGCAGGTTCAGATTCAAGCCGTGCTCTCTCTCTTCTGTCAGCTCAACCATGGGGTAGCACACTAGTTGCAGACTACATGACCAGTTCTCGGGGTTGCAGCACCTCATTCGAAGTGAGATTGAATCAGGTTGGAGAACCTGATGACGGCCATTTTGCAGGTGAGATCGAGCTGGTGCCTCAGGGTAAGAGACAATGCATGGGTGTTGATCCCAGTGTGAGATGCAGGTTTTCTGATGATGCCATCCACTGGACTCTGTAGTCCCAATTCTTTTTGGGTGGTGGTCTTTTTCAGCTCTCTATCAAGCTTCCCATGGCTGTTCCAGTGTTTTGTTAGCATGAACTTTCTTCTTTCTTTTCTTTCCTTTTTCTTTTTTTTCCTTGTCAGATCAAACTAAACCTGAAATTTTCTGTTAGATGCATTAATCCCTTTTAGAACATGTCCCTAAAATAATTATTTTTTTATTGAAAAATATTAATTCTTATATATTTCTCACTGAAAATAAAAATAAGAAAATGATCTTTCTGATATAAAAGTGGATTACTTTGATGAAAATCAATTCAAGTTATATTCGATCATAGATTTAACAAAAATGATATTGTTCGAAAAAATAATATTATATATCAAAATAAAAAAAACAATAGTATATATCTTAGAATCATGTTAATACTTATTGGGATTCGTTTGATAAAAATGAATGTGAATTATACTTGAATGATCAATGATAGATTTAATAAAAAAAATATTTATTTTAAAAATTAATTATTTTTAAATTTATATAAGAAAAATATACTAAATATATTAACATCTCACCCAAAGTTTTGGATGAGTTTGGATGAAAATTCAAAAAGTGATACTTGTGTTACACATGATCACAAATTAAATTTAAAAATATATATTTTTAAATTAATTATACTAAATATATAATAATAAATATAATATTAAATATACTATTATCTCAGACTAGTTTTAAAGAAGTTTGGATGGATTTAGTAAAAAATTAATTAGTTATATTTATCATAGATTTAATCCAAAAATATTTTATTTAAATTTTTTTTATTTAAAATTATATTAATTAAAAATATACTAAATATCTGATTAACTTGATGAAAATATTTTGGTTACATTCGTGTTATATTTGGATTATACTCATTCTTAGATTAATCAAACTCGATTCACGATAACTTGAATGTTATTTATTTTAAAATTAGTAATGAAAATATTATTTTTTTTACTCATCAATTATTTTTAATTATCTAAATTTGTGATCCTTTAAAACCTTTCAATCTCACTAGGAACATCATTATAATTAATATATATTTTCATCCTCTTCATAGCCTTCTTTAGGCCATTATTTCTAATTTAAAACTTTAAACATTTATTGGCAATTACTTAATGGTCTTTAACTTCGATTAATATAAACACTTAACATTTTTACGCTATTATATAATTTGAATGTGGCCCAAATAATTTTAGTTTATTACATGAGAAAAGCTGTATTTTCAACATCCTTGCTCTTACGGGATCAAAGATTCATGGAATAAATCTCATAGTATCATTTTTCCAACACCTTTTACCAAAAGCTTCTAATTGTTTTTGAAAAATAAATCTCATAGTAATAACTTTCTGTTGGATTGAAAATATTAAAAATTGATTTATTTTTCAAAAACAATTAGAAGCTTTTGGTTTATCTTAAATTAATTATTTTTAATTGTTATTTTCCTTTATGTTAAATATATCCAATATTTTCTTTTTTTAAAATATTTTATTAATTATTTGATTAAACCACTGTCGTTACTAAACGCAATTGACCGTCTCTTCCAACCGGCCTTCGAGTCCTCCGAGGACTCGGATCTCTTCCAAACACACTTGTACTTAGAATAATTCGATCCCACATGTCCACCGTGAACGTATCTGAGCTGTCGTTTTACTGGTGATTTGGACGAATCATCAAGGTTTTTTATACGGTTGACGCGAGTGCTTCTTGGAGGAGATCCTCATCGTTCTTGACCTCGTCACATGCGCAGCAGCAGATAGAAGTTGGACTTAATCGGCCCCACCCGGTCTCCTCGACAGAAAAATGCTAAATCACCCCTAAGATATCGTACCCAGAAATGGCCCCTAGTGTTTTCCAATGAAAAGACAGGCATGTGAGACGAGTAAAACGCGGATAAACTTTTGGGGTGACAAAACTGGGTAGGAAAGGAACCGGTCCCGGCTGCTTCTCCTCTTGCCTTGTCCTTTGTTTCCCTCTCCCTCAGCCTCGCTGTCTTCGCACTATCCGAGTACGAGAAGGCGCAGAAACCCTAGAGCTCTGCCGCTCTTCAGGTAATAGCCTCTCGCTTCCTCTCTCGATCGCGTTCCTTGTGACTTGCAGCTGGCCCGCATACCGTGAATTCTCGGGAAATGCCACTCTTCGGGCCTCGAACGGTCTCGATTTGTTGGAGATCGAGATGCATTGGTCTCGGGGGTTTGCTGAGGGCGGTGCCACAGTGAATACTGGTTTTCTTCGATGGACTTCCTCTGATGCAGTCCAGGGTTCTTGGTCTTACGCCACTTGGTTGGAGTGAGATTATGGGTAAAGATATGTCATTTGATTGTTGTTATTGATGTCTCACTTGGATTTTGTCTTGAATGTGGGAAAGTGTTTAGGTCTTTATGGGTTATCGATTTGGGATCTCTTCGCCATTTTTGTGTTTTTGTTCTTGAAACATAATTTTCTCTTACCATTTAAAGAGGTTAGATTATGAGATTTTTTACCCCAAAGTCCGTCTTTTTTAGCTGGAAAGTGTCACTGTCTGGAGCTAGAGATGTACAGTTGGCGTGAGGAGGACTGGTGATATGATCGGCGGAAGAAAAAGCTGATCCTACTAAAAGAAGTTAGAGGTGTTTGTATTCTTTTACATGCAAAAGTTGAGCTTTGGTTTTTCAGTATGTGTGGTTCCATCTGGAGATCAATTTGGAAGATATTATTGGTTAAGATGGAGGAATTGAGTATCAAGTATATTGATCTTTAGTGACTGGACTTGTTGGAAGTAATCTCCAGGGATTCTGAGACTACTGGAGGTTACGACCTAGTATTTTCTATTGGAAAACATTAAGCAGTGGTATTAGCTGTTGCTACCAATTATTCATCGTTTTATATTTCTAATACATGATGCACAATCTTTGCTTCATCCGTTATACAGTTATTTATTTAATTTTCTGTTGTTTCTGTAACCAAGAAAAATAGCTGATCATAGCTCTATACTTGTAGAAGACTGAAGGCAACAGGTGCATGTACTATCACCATCTGCTAGAGTTCAGTCTTTTCTCGTCTACAGGGTATTCATATATGATCCAATCACTTCTTGACTCTCTTTTACCATATTGCAATGACAGAAGTGCATCTATGGACCATTTTGCATTGCAGGATCTGTTAAGCTATAAATGGCAGTTACCGGTTCTGAGAATCCATTATTAGGTGAAATAACATGTGGGTCTCTACTGCAACAGTTGCAGGTGGTTCTTTTATTTCATTTATTTTTCTTATTTATTTTTTGAAACTTGCAATGAGACGATATGAAGTGGACTGACCAATTGGCCTTCTAATTCAGATAATATGGGATGAAATCGGTGAGAGCGATGAAGAACGAGACAAGATGCTGCTTCAGCTGGAACAGGAATGTTTGGATGTTTACAAGAGAAAAGTCGACCAGGCTTCTAAGTCAAGGGCACTCCTACTCCAATCTTTGGCTGATTCGAGAGCCGAACTTGCCAGACTTCTTTTTGCACTCGGAGAGAAGTCTTTAGTTGACATAGTGAGTTCATATCCAAACTATTCAGTTTCTGTGTAATTGTTGAAAAATCTTCTCCTTCTCTGGATAGATAAGAATTCACCACTCATTTTTCTCTGCCTCTTTGAACATGTCTTTGTATACTAGTACTTTTACATTTGTTTCATTGAGCAAAGTGACTAGAACGAATTGCACATAAAATATTTTGTACTTGAGGTGCGTTTATATGCAAGGAAAAATTAATCGTTGGAATGTTTGCCTGAGGTTGTATATCAAGTGAAGAAGATTTTGATGACTTCTATGCTTGACAGTGTTGATTGAATAATAAATTTTGCATATCGTTTGTGCCTTCGGAACTAGTTCATTCGAAGGCATTCTTGAGGTTGTTACTGAGAAGTGAGAAATACCATATAAGATAAGATTTGTAATTGACACTTTGAGAGTTTCTATGCCTAGTGGGATATTAACAATGAGTGCGCATCACAGTTCCTAGGGTGCCTCTACTCCTTTAGATCCATGATTGGGGCTCCTCATCTTGAATTATGATACTTTTGCATCCCTGATCACAATTGTACGTGATCCAGGACACTGAAGTTATGGATCTATCTCATCAATGCTATTCAATTTTATGATAACAAACCAACCAAAGAAAAATAAAATTGAAACTTATTTCTCCTCTATAAACTTTCAAAAGAAGTTTGAAACAACAAAAATGCCAAACATCAATGAAAGAAAAATAAATTTATAATCTTTTGTCATCTGCTAACATTTGTATGACCTAATTAGGTGCATAGCTATTTACTTAGTATAACCAAAATAACTTATTTTAGTGTAGCAAACAGTCTATGTTGTTAACCATCATCCGTTGATGAACAAGTCTCCATATGTAAGTTACAACATTTTTCAAATTAACTAAGCAACTAATTCTATCCCTTAAATTAAATAAAAAACTGTCTTTAGCTTATCATGAACTAAGCTAAATGGCATAGGTTGTAACTGTACTACTTATTCCATGACCCAGCAGGCTCCATGTTGTTGGTAACAACTGTGGTCCCAATGTCCATCAGAAATTTTTTTCTTGATGCATCATGATGAGCATGTATTTACCTGCATTGTACAACTGAAAATATTTTTTCCTAAATTCATAGTGGTAGCTAGTGCAATCTAGTGTCAAGAAACCTTTCAACTATTTATGTTGACGTCTTGAAAAAGGACCAGTGGTGGTAATTGTAACTGTAGGCTCAGGAATGTTTCCTATGATGAAAAATTCCCATGGCCTTTATATGAGTTGCATCTAATGTTAATTGGAGTTACTCTCTACATGTTTTGGAAGTAGCACACAAGTTTGCCTAGCCATATCAGAGATGCTGTATCTATAGGCTGGAATACAAAAGGATCTTGTATTCCAGCCATTAGGCTTGAAAGGCACCTCAACTGGGCTGGACTGTGGTCTGCAATATTTGGTCCATCTTCATTATCGAAGGAGGCCTGGACTTCTACCTATCGATGTTTTTGTATAGACGTGAAAGTGCTATGCGCGGAGACCTTTTCCACACTACTCTTGTCTTCAATGATCAGAGTGACTGCTACAACTTTTTGAAGGTCGATATACTTCCTGTTGTGAGCACCGCAAGAGGGAGCAACCATTTTAAATGCATTAGACCTCTGTACCTCAGTAGCATCTATTCCTTTTTGGAGAAAGCATTTGATAAAGTTTCCTTGATCAAATAAGATCTACTGACCTTCTGTGTTTTATACTATATAACTCTGCAATATCTAGTATCTAGTGTTTACAAGTATTTACAAGTAACAACTTGAAAAAAAATGCTACCGAGTTGCCTTTTTTTTTCCAACTTTATTGCTCTAAGTGGTTATACAGCATAGCAGAAATCCGTTGTACTTTGAAGTATGGAATTCGGTCTACACTACCAAATGCCACCCATAGGTTAGAAATGCAAACACAAAAAAAAAAAGTAATTGCAAAAGTTATCTATATTCAATTAATGGCATTTGTGATACAGGTTACTTTAGCCTTTGATGCTGATTCTTATATGGTCTTCCGCAGCAAGATCGGTCCTCTGGTACAATCAAGGAGCAACTAGTAGCTATAGCACCAGTTGTGGAACAATTATGCAAGCAGAAAGAGGAGAGGATAAAAGAATTTGATAATACATTATTACAGATTCAGAAAATACGTGGGGAAATATCTGGTACTTTAAAACTTGGTGAGCAAATAGAGACACCAGTTGTTGATGAGGAAGACTTGTCACTGAAGAAGCTGGATGAGTACAAGTTACAACTTCAGGAACTTCAGAGAGAAAAGGTTCTCTGTTATATTATCTTCTGTAATATGTTTTGAGACCATGATGTGTGCTAAAATCTTTGTCGCTACCTTTGCAGAGTGATAGACTGCAAAAGGTTCTTGACTTTGTCAGCACAGTGCATGATCTCTGTGCAGTCATGGGCCTGGATTTCTTCAGTACCATAACTGAAGTTCATCCTAGCTTAAATGACTCTGTTGGAGTGCAATCGAAGAGCATTAGTGATGGTACTTTATCCAAGCTCTCGGGAATGGTCATTGGACTTAAAGAGGATAAAAAGATGCGACTACAAAAGGTAAAGCCAAGGAGTCAACAATGTTTAACACTTTAAGAACATGATTTTGAATCAAATTCATGCAGATGGTCAAATTTTGGTTTATGCTATATTGGATTTCTTGTTGTATCTTTGGTATTTATGCAGCATTCTTTTTTCTTTTTTGTTTCTTGTTAGTTGTATATACTTTAGATTAAGACAACTCCATTAATATGTAATAAATGTATTCATTTTTGTATTCTTTTGCTATGAATATTCATATACTTCATGGCTAACTGTCTATTCTATCACAACCTTCATTTAGCTATACCTTTGGTTTTTTTCCTAGTTTTTCTTTGACCTTTTAGCTAAATTTAGGTTGTCTTCTCTCTTTAATTGGCCTTCCTCAAGCAAGGGGTAAATACTATAAAGTATATGGGTTGATCTATTAGAGAATCTCAAAATGTTAAAAAGGTCTGATTTAAAATTATGCCACTGTATCATTTTTCAGACAGAGATCAGTTGAAATCTCTACACTTTTCTTTAAAAGAAATATCCAAGGCGCATGGGCCACTAAACATAGAGAATTTGATACTATGATTTGTAGACTTCAAATTGTGTATTTTTCTCCTTAACTATGCTTTTCTGAATCTATCACCCAAACATTTCTGATGGGCAGTATGGAACTATAGATATATACATATTATAAATTGACATCTGCTCACACTATCACAATGATTCTCAGCTTCAAGAGCTTGCTGCTCAGCTACATGATCTTTGGAATCTGATGGATACACCAATGGAGGAACGGAACTTGTTCAGCCATGTTACGTGTAACACTAATTGTACAGTGGATGAGGTTACTGTTCCTGGAGCTCTGACCCTTGATCTAATTGAACAGGTTAGTTAATTTCATGAGTTGAGAATTTCTGAAAATATTAAGGCAATGCTAAATTTATCTTTCTCGGGTGATAGAACACCTAGAAATTACTTGTTTTATTGTATGGCTTTATATTAATGTATGAAGGCTGAAGTTGAAGTCGAAAGATTAGACCAGCTAAAGGCAAGCAAGATGAAGGAAATAGCTTTCAAGAAACAAATTGAACTTGAAGATATTTATTCCCGTGCTCACATTGAGATAGATTCTGCAGCTGCCAGAGAAAAAATATTGGCTCTAATTGATTCCGGAAATTTTGAACCTTTGGAGTTACTAGCAGACATGGATAATCAAATATTAAAAGCCAAAGAGGAGGCCTTAAGCAGGAAAGATATATTAGAAAGGGTTGAAAAATGGATGTCAGCATGTGAAGAAGAAAGCTGGCTTGAAGACTACAACCGGGTACTTACATAATATCTTATTAAAGTCTATATAATCTTGGCATTCTGAGGCAGTCATGCATTTTTATCTTGGATGCTATGACATGGGTTTCTTTTATCTAGGATGTTGTTGTATATCATGCTCAGTGCTGCTGATTTGCAAATTATATGCCTTCTTTGCTGTTAATGGGATCCTTATTCTTCTAGTCAAAACTGGTTCACTTAACAGTGCTCACTATATGCCATGCACATTGTTGCCTGCACACACCAAATTCCTAATATTTGTATTTTTATGCTGTACTTTTATATTTCTTATATTGTTTGACATCTAGAAACCTAGTTGATATTCCTTTCTTTTCTATTTTTCGTTTGATGAGGTGAAAAATACACCAGCAACCAATCAGCCCCAGCCACCCCCCAAAAAGAGCACTATCCCTACCACATGGGATAACCAGTGGGAACTCCTTTCTGATTTCATAAACTTTACTGGCAGGCATTCTTTTTTCCTTTTTTTTTTTCCGTTGATACTAATATATGGTAATCTATTTTCTCTAGCTAATAGTGTCACTTTACAGTTCAAGTGTATGTATAATGAATAATTTGACAAATGTATAGCTTTGTTACAATTTGCTAGGGTCTAGTGTTGAGTATCAGTATACATACATGCTTTAGTCTAAAATTTTATTTTCCAGAATCCAGCCTACTATTCCATTTAGCTTTCTCCAAGAATTGAAATTGAGAAGTTAATTGGAGTAAAGAAGATTTTTTTGCAAGAAACTCATTTTCGTAGCCCAGGCAGTTCTCTTGATTCAGGCATGATATTCCACCAAATTCTGACCCCCTAATTTGTAGTTTTACTTTTCCAGGATCAGAACAGATATAATTCAAGCCGTGGTGCACACCTTAACCTCAAGCGTGCAGAAAAAGCTCGCATATTGGTTAATAAAATTCCAGGTATTTCAGCAAATATGTTCAAATAAATCACCTTTTCCTTTTTTCTACTTCCTCAAATAAGATGGCTGTGTATCAATTTTTCTGACAATAATAGTAAAATAAAGAGAGTACATGCATTTCCTGAGGCAGGGAAGACAATACATGCTTTGCTATAGTTTGATCATTGACATTAAATAATACATAAAAAGATCTTTCATGTTTAGGATCCTTTTTAATCGCAACAAACATCTCTTACAGACCAGGTGCACTATATTTCTTTATTAATTGGAATAATCTTAGTGTTGGTGAATGCTTTTTTTCATCACAGAAATGTCATATGGCTCCTTGAGTATTTATGTTTCAAACTATTCCAGCTTGGCTTTCCAATATGTCAAACTTGTATTCTGTTACCGATTGCCAAGCAAACGGATTAATTTGGAGCTGACCCCTTGTATCTTTAGTACGTTGTCTGTTCCCCTCTCCTTGCTTCTTGGCTGTCGAACCAAATAAGAGATTAGTTTTTGATGTAATAGAAAGCAGAAAACAACTGTTCCATTTGTTTAAAAAATCAATGATGATTCTGATGTTTCTTCTACAAGTTGCTAAGAACTACTGTGGTAATAGGGCAATTGTGCTGAACAGGGCTACTTTGCTTCGCAAGCAAAAGTATCCTGGTAGTTACCTAATACAAGAAACATGACATATGGTAGATATTTGTTGTGCTATAACTTTTACCTTTAACTTCTGATGTGTAGTTTAACTTTTGTCTAGCTGGTTATGTTACAGTTTTTAAATGACTGATGATGCTGTGGTTTTTTAGCTCTTGTTGACACACTAGTTGCAAAGACCAAGGCGTGGGAGCAGGATCACGACATGTCCTTTATGTATGATGGTGTTTCCCTCCTTGCAATGCTCGATGAGTATAACATGCTAAGACAGGACAGGGAGGAGGAAAAACGAAAACAGAGGGTATGCTTTGGCCCATTTGATATTAGGCAATCTTCATCCCTTTCTATGTTCAGACAAAACTCATGAGGCCCCTCTTTCCTTGATGTCTATGTTTTCCAGGATCAGAAGCGTTTCCACGAGCAACTTGCCACAGAACAAGAAGCCATGTTTGGTTCAAGGCCAAGCCCTGTCCGTCCACTTGGTGCCAAGAAGGTGATCAGTCCACGTTCTAATGGAAGTGCACCAAATGGAACCGCTACACGAAGATTATCTCTCAACTCCCATCAGGGTGGCAGCAGTGGTTCTCCATCTTTAAGCAGGGATGGGAAGAGAGACAACAGTAACAGGCCAGCTGCTCCGGTGAACTATGTTGCCATTGCAAAAGAAGATGCAGCCTCCCCTATCCAAGTTAACGCTTCACCATGAGGATTGTTGACTGTGAGTTCTCTGTATTTGAAATATGCAGTGGAGATCGGCTGAAGGTGGGGTTAGATTCTAATTATACTTGATAAGTATTCCCTATTATCGAGAATTTATCTGTGGAGTGGCTATGGCATCAGATCCTTTGACTACTATCATAAGTGTAAGATTGGTCTCTATTTTCGAACAAGCTATTAGATTAGTAGAAAGTCAGGTATTTTCTATTTGGCTTGATCCTTGTTCCTGAAGTTCCATCTTTGGTCTATTTGGCTTGCCCAGTAATGCGAGTTCTTATGTGGCTTTGTCTCTTCTTTGGACCTCATTCAAAGAATCTTTGTTATCATGGTAGTGTGATGTATGAACTGCAGCTTTATAGATCAATATAAGCAGCACATGTTTATTTGGAAGTTGTAGTTTGGCATGTGATATACCCACTGGCAATTTGATCAACAAACCTTCATCTTATTGGCTGGGACTTTTGATCATTCATCTTATTGATACTTTAGGCATGCATGCATGCATTAGCTCATTGTACTATGTACACATCATTTTGTTGATCTATTATCGATTAGAGTATTAAAATTTAATTAAATCTAAAAAAAAGGAGAAACAACACCACTCAATAAACTAAAACAAAAGAAACATTACATTTGGTGTAGAGTAGGATGAAGATGACCGGTGGAGATATGGTCCGAAGGATGGTGAACCGAAGATGATTAGTGAAGGAGAACGGTCCAGTGGCCATTGCACAAAGAATCGTCCAATAGGGCACGTGGCAGGTCGTCCGTGGTCCTGCCTTTGATTGGATCGCGCATTGCAATCCACGGAGGTGTGCTTCTGCGGCCGTCGAAAGTGTTGCGGACGGCAGCCGATTTGCTTCAATCCCTCGTCAAACATGTCGATTTACGTAGGTTAATGACTGCTTTAATTTTAGGAATATATATATATATATATATATATATATATATATATATATATATATATATATATATATATATATATATATATATATATATGATCGGAAAAAAGATCGGCAATTGATGGGACATTTTAACATGAAAACTTTTCTAATGATATATTTGTATGTGATCTTTTTTTTTTCCAAGCAAGAGATAAATTTTATTTCTTCAAAATTTAAATAAAGATCTGTGAGTTGAAGTTTAATATCATGTCCAAACCAGAAGGCCAATTTTTCTTTCAGTATACATTTAGATTTTCAGGTAAAATTAGCTAAAATTGACTGACCAATTAGCTGGTCTATTCCCCTCCATAAAAGTATGTACTACTTTAAATATGATCTTTATCCAACAAAAATTAATAGGTGAATTGATGGACACAAGATTTCTTTGTTATCAATTTGGGATATGCATGGCACAATATATATAACCAGAATTGACTAAATATAGATTACCATTTGCCGGCGTATGAAATGAAGACAACATTCATGGATGGCTTATCAAGCTTATCTTTGATGGTTCTAAAATTGTTACCGACAGACAAAATATATCCAGGATGATCCAAATTGAGACAGACAGGCACAGAATTATCGGAACAGAAGAATGAATCACCATTTATGCATGTTACAGTTGACTATGCAGCAGTCGCAAAGTCAAGGAAAATGGTGATAGATTTCGGATTATGATAGTGTTAGTGATTTATTGGGCCAAGGGAATCCATTCCAGTTCTAGATCGATCCCTCCAGATTCAACATTTTGTAGCTTCAGTGACACCTCCTGTTTAACCTTTCCATCAATGATGTTGATGGTGCTATCTCTGATGAGAGCATTGTCATTTGACTGCAGCCACTTCCCAATTTGCATGTCAGCAAGCAAGTCAGGATCACCGAATGCTGTAGCGGCTGTGATCATCGGCTGGAGGTTCACATCAGCTTCACCCATTATATCATTGGAAGAGAGCACGTCTTGATCAAATACTTGCTGTTCAGTGAACAAAATGGAATCAAGAATCTATATTTGTTGAAAAAGACATCTTACTAATCCAGTCAGATGCATCACTCCATAAATCTTTATAATTTTTTGTGCTAAGCAGATTGGAATATAGCTGACTTCTGAATTAATATTAAGCAAGACAGTGTTTTGGATCAACATTAGAAACACAAACAAAAAGAAAAGCCAGTGAATTGGTGTATTTTAGCATATTATACCATGAACTTTGTGAGCTCATATTTTAGGGTGAAGATATAACATGTTAGTGGTTTTTATTTTTTGAAGAAAAACAATTGGACATCATTGGATCATGTTACACATTTCAGATTTGTTGTGGAATCAGATTCTAGTACGTAATATGATTGGTCATCTGTCAGCATTAGACTATCTTAAAGTCCTACATTGAATCATATATTGAGAAGCTCATGAATGCAAGGATGAACTCAAAAAGAGCAATATTTCCTCAAACTACTGAAATTGACATCTAAAACCTAGTAAAAAATCTGTCTGAAAATTGGAACTTGATCTGTGTGACATGATGCAGAACCGAAGCAGAGATAATTCTTACCACTTTCAGGGCTCCATAGTTTTGAGGAACTGATAGCTTAAGCTCCTCATTCCAAACTGGATTCAGGTCGCTCTTAATAACAGCCGTCTGGGCTCTCTGCAGAAATCCATCATCTAATTAACCTTAGATAAGAAAAATAACTAAACAAATAAACGTTTTCATGCTAACAATTGAAAACTCACCTGTTGTCCAAGAGTCAAAACAACATAGGGGTCACTACTTCGCACATCTCTAACTGCTAAATTAGTGCCTTTAATCACTTTAACATTCAGTATGCCAATGAACTCCACCATCCCTGCCTGAGACTAATCCAGGATCATGTTGTTAAGGTAACGTAGATAGAGGAATATATTTTTTCAATTTTATAATAGCATGATATGTTTAGATCGTACTGTTTTATTTACACTTGCAGAACCAGAAACACTGTCACTGTCCTTCCCAGAACCACAGGTTGTTGAAGTATTTTTTGAAGGAACAATACGTAGACTTGGTTTGAGAAATTCTTGCAACTCATACTTGGACCTGTTAACTCCAGAAAAGTTGTTTTGCTTGAGGGCTCAATCACTCTGTGGGAGAAACATTACAAGTCGTCCTTTTATTATCAATTACCTAATGAAATTTGCTCTTTCTTCATAATTGGAATCTGAGTTAGGCTTGGCATATCCCTCAGGAAGAAAAGCCTCATAAATTGCATTGGCACAAGAGTTTCCACCAACTTCTATCATAGAGTTGATTTGCACATCAGACCATTCATCTAATGTTACGGACAGAACCTGAGTCATGATCCCGACATAGTGGAAGAATTAAGAATGAAGCTTTAAGAAACAAAAAGCAAATTGTAGAGTCATAGAATCATCTTGATAAAGTAGTGTCGATAAACTGAGATCGAGAACATCTCCGTTGCTGATTGGAAAAGAATAATGTCAAACAACATATTTGAAGATGTACATATTTTTTAAAAGATAATAACTTTCTAGATTAGATGGATGGATTTTTACCAATAAAAGAACCAAATATGCATGCATAGTTAAAAATACAAAAAAAATCGAAAGCTTGACTATGTTGTGTCATCAGTACTCAATTAGTTGATATTAAAACATTCATGCATTTTCTGAAAAACAAAAACATTAGTTCATGGAATGTGAATGATCAACTAGTATTCAAGTATCTATGTCATCAATACTGAATGCTACCTTTGAGATATGTGTGCCCAGGTTTCTATGTACACCGCTACATTTTAGGCATATAAATACCCCAATATTGGCAGACCTGTAGACACAAGCAAAATATTATGCATAGAATGGGCTTTACTTAACTCATCAACATGCCTATGAAAGTATATTGCAAATATGTGAATACCAGCTTTTAAATCATTATTGTTTC